AAGTGCAACTATGGAACAGCGGAAGTGCGACTGTGTTTAGCAGTCCTTTAACTGTATTAAATAACTGTTCCAACACATGCAGATTTAGTTTTAACTTTGAATTAGCAACACAAATGTTTAACGTTGGTATGTTTAATTGATTCAGTTATTTTATTTTTTTTGGAGAACTAAAAATCAAAATTTGGTTGACAGTTTTTCGATAGTTTTTTCTTTCTTCGCATATATCTATTTTACCATGACATTCATCATTCGTCGGTAAAGCTTAGAATATCTTGTCAATACAATAACTTACCCAAAAATTTTATATAACTTATGTAACAACTACAACTACCTTACATCGCTTAAGTAACAACTTTACATTATTGATTCGTAACTGATACATATATATTGTTTGTGTAACCAATGTATTGTTTTATGTAAGCATAAGATATCAACATAATAGGTGATCCTGATTCATTTTTATAGAATTATCTTTTATAAATCTCTCAAAACTGATTTCCATTTTTTGAGTTCTTAAATTTTATTTATTTAAGTACAACACAATTAAGCCTAGTCCTTTAGTGCATCATCAACTTTTGGGCCTTACACTGTCCTGATATATATTAAATACCAACACAATTAAATCTATTTTTATTTTTTATTTTTTTTAAGAACAATTTCAAGGCCAAAATGATAATTAGTAATAAATTTGGCAGTTAGTTGGTAGAAAGTTGGACAGGATACGTTATTATGAGCAGCTCAAGTTACATAATATATATAGTAACTGCAATATAGATATATATATAAATATACACACACACATATACAAAATTGAGTTTTCAAGTCTATTTAATGGATTTTAATTTGGGGTCAGACAGTGACATAGCCATTAGATGGTGGATCACAATCCTTCCTCGGGCAACCTGATGAATCATATGAGCCAACATAATCTAGAGTTTATAAAGCTTGAATTAATTGGTAACCCCCTTGTTTTTTTGATCCCATGATAGGCAAAGATGGTCGAAAATAATGTTGCATTTTGAAGCACAAATTCCGTACTTTGTAATTGAAATTAAAGAAAATTTAATTCAAATTTTGAATAAAATTCCTCAAATTTCAATTTCGAAACGCTTAACAATTATTAGTGCTCCCTAGTCCCTAACATAGCTTAATCAAATCTTTTACCCTAATGTGCCACAGCTGGAGTCATCTTGGACAATCTTGATATACATTTCATCATTTTGGGTCAATTCATCTTGATGGACGCGAAATACTTATGGAATATTTCTTTATGGACAATCTTGTCTATTTTTTTTTTTTTTGGTAGATAATACTTATCTATTCATCCGCATTTTGACCGCTGATATTTTTTGAAAGAGTATTGAATCAGTACAAAGGGAGTAAGTTGTTGGCGATGCAATTGTTTTTTTTAGGTTAGATGCTCATTTGCAAGATGGTGGGAGTGAGTTTGAGGTCTCGTGGTTGTGTTTGAGTTTGCTTCAATCTAGTAGACTGTTTTAATATGGATTATTAATTTTGTGGTTTTTTCTCATTGAGATTTCTTACATAAAAATCTAGTATGTTTTCGAGCAATGCTAAACGTCTCGAAAATTCGAGGTATGTATCTCGAATATGAAAGACAGATATGTCCTTAATTTTTTTTTGAAGTATTACACTTTTTCTTTCTTCTTGTTGAAAAATTAACGTTTTTAAGTTATACTTAAATTAAGGAAGCGGATAAGTTCAAAGATGAATAATGATTCTGATCACACACACATATATGTATGTACACATTCGTATGAATTATTTGTTGAAGGAGAATTAAGAATGAACATTAAGTTAGGTTTCTCTCTTTAACTTTCTTTTCTCTACTTTTATCTCTCTCACACACACATATACATTCTTATGCACCCTCGACTTTATAATTGTAAAGTCATAATAAACATTAAGTTGATTATCGATCAATTTATCAAATTATTCATACATGTAGATCGTTGAAGAAATTAGGATTCTTATTCAAGAGAAAGATGACTCAAAATATAGTTTTAAAATTTTTTAAGTGGATTATGTATTTATTTAATTACTCACACATAAAAATTGGTTGAGAAATTTAGGTTTTTATTGAAGAAAAATAGCTAACTCCTAAAACGTTTATCAAAGTGTTATGTTAGGGTTCAAATTTTACCATAAATAATTTTTTCCTATTTTTTTTTGTCTCAAATCAACCATGTATTCGTTTGGCAAAATCGCTTTTAAAATACAAAAAATTACCTTGTCATATCATCCGTCACAAAGTTACCATATCACTAATCATGTAATTCAAAATTATTTTCGTTATACAATAATTTGTGATATTTAGCTATTTTTCCTCTCAATCTTATTATGTATTCTTTAGACAAAATCACTTTTAAAATACACAAAATTGAGTTGCCATATCATGGGTTACAAACCTGTCATATCACTAGTTATGTATTTCAAGTTATTTTTGTGATACGATAATTTGTGATGTGTAATATTTTCTTTTACTCGTTTTACTCGAAAAGTTGATTATCTAAGAAAAAAGATATACGGGATTTGCTTTTCACCTCCACACCCACCCATTATGATTATTTATTATTTATTTTTCATTTAAAGGCTTTCAGAAGTTCATAAGATGCGGGTTTAAGTGGGGTGTGGAGGGACTTTTTGGAAAACAAATTACTACTGACCTATGCGCGTGGTACCCATCAAATGTACGGATGGTATCATTTAATACATAGTCATGAAATCTCTTAATTTGTCTTGATACATAAAAAACGATACTTAAAAAAAAAAAAGTTCGGCCGTGCATTGAACGGAAATTCCATGTGTAAAATACCTGTAAATATTTTATACTTTTTCCTTGCCAAGATCTTGATTTCGGTAGTGTTTTGATGAGTTTTTTTGAACTTGGAGTTGAAACAAATTACGGATCACATGGGACAACTTCTTGCAAAGGCAATTGAGGACACCAAAATGACGCGGGCTTGGTATGATCCGTATTGCAAAGGACTGGTCGGGTATGGATAGGCAGGATGGAGCAAGTTTACACTGGATGGACTCAGATCCATAAAGTTATTGCAGAAGCCCATATTAAAATGAGAGAAGTTGAGTCCAGACAAAAAGGAGCAAATAAGGCCCAGGCCAGAGGAGGTTGTAACCGTCTATAAATAAGGGAAATCGAGAGGGAAAAGGGGTTAGAAAGATTGGGAGTGAAAAATTTCTCTCTCTGTAATTGGGGAAATTCTTTGTACTTTCAATTGGCGCCGTCTGTGGGAAGAACATGAAGGATTCATTGATGTTGTTCCAGATCGATTCGATTCAAAGCACTCTGCGAGGAAGACGATTAATCTGCGAAAGCTAAATCAACATTGGCAATAATACGATTTGTCTCGATGAGTCTAGGCTCCGGTTGATTTCGCGAAGTTGGCGTCCGATCCAAGCAGATCAGATCTGTACTTGATCCGGCGAACTGCACAATTGCGATCTATTGTGATTATTGAATCCGGCCAGTAGCGAACTGAATTCAGCAAGTGTGAGTTCAGATCTGGTGTATGCGCGTTAGCGGAACTCCGATCTGGTCAAGAAATTTGCAGTTGATGACTTTGCTCCGATCTGGAATGATGATCGGAGAGGCGAACTCAAATCCTTTGGAGAACGGCCAGCAGACGAAGCTCGATGAGCTGATGAACATGATCAACGCTTTGAGGAAAGAAAATGCAGAGCTACGAGCTGGAATGGAGCGTCGTGTGGCTCCTGCAATTCCGAGGCCATCTCCTGAGGGAGAGGGAGCTTTACCGTCCCAAGCTGATCGTCAAGGAGATCCAGAAGGTGTTAATCGTGTTGATCCACGTCGTAATGAAGTTATAATCGGTGATCTACCTCCGAATGTTCGTCGAGTAGAGGATCGAGAAGGATTTATTCATCTGGAACCACATCGCGAACGGATTATGATGGAGGAAACACCGGTATATGAACATAGGGTTGCGTCACCATGGCAAAGTGAGTTTGCGGAGGAAAAGTCGTTCGATCCACCTTACCAACCTTCATTAGCAACATTTGATTACCACAGTTCAGAAAGGAGATCTGCTGATCAGGGGTTTCCGTCACGGTTTTCAAGGGAAAACGAAGCGTTGCGCTCATCAGCAAGAACGGTTGCATCTCCGTTCACTGATGAAATTCTGAACGCGCCGAATCCGAAAAAGTTCTCCATGCCAGTTTTTATTCTGTTTGACGGAACAACCGATCCGGTCAATCACATCTACCATATTCAGCTGAAAATGGCTCTGAATACTAACAATGATCCTTTGATATGCAAATGCTTCCCTCCGAGCTTGGCTGGACCAGCTCTCAATTGGTTCAAGAATCTGGCTCAGGGCTCAATCGCCAGTTTCCAGGACTTATGCGATAAGTTCATAAGCCAGTACTACGGGAATAAACGTCCGGCTAAGGATGTATCAAGCCTTTTCACAATGAAGCAGCATGAGGATGAACGGCTCCAGGCTTTTCTCACCTGGTTCAACCTCCTTAAAAGTATGGTAATGGAGTGTCATCCGTCCACAGCAGTCCAAGCATTTAAACTCGCAATGAATCGAGGGACGCCGTTCCACACCAGCTTGGTGGTTAATACGCCAAAGACCATGGACGAGCTGAACGAGAGAGCTGACGGTTTTGTTCGTCTTGAGGAAGAAGAGGCAGCTAATTCGAGGAAGACGTTAATTATTTCGACAGAAGAGAAGTCCAAAGCCAAGATCCGGCAAAAACAAGCTCAGCCGCAACATCACACCTCATGAAAGGCGGAGAAAAGGCCCAGGGAGGAGGAATCAGTAACTCCACTCAGAGTCACTTTAGCAAGGCTATACCAAGAGAACAAAGATAAGTTTCGTCCTCCTTTACCAATCAGGCAACCTCTTGAACAGAGGGATCAAACTAAACATTGTGCTTTCCATAGTGATTTTGGACATCAGACTAACGAATGCAGGAGCCTAAGGAGGTAGGTAGAGATGCTAATCGCAAAGGGGGAATTTGCAAGCTATGTTCAAGGTCCGGCGCAAGAGCAGAACCGCCCGACTGAGCAGATCAAGCGGAGCCAGAGGCCAAACCCACATAACTCCCAGCCTGTTCGGATTATAAATGCAATTCATGGCCGGCCTGAACAAATGACGAAGTCAGAAGAATTGTTCAGAATACAGTTACGCCAGGCCCAGTTAAAAAGGAGGATTGGCAGTGTACATGCTTTGCACCAGCAGAACGCGTCCACACCGATAAAGTTTGATAGAACGGACCTGTTACGTGTTCAGATTCCTCATGAAGATCCATTAGTAGTCAGTCTGACAGTTGTAAAATGCCTTGTGCGAAGAGTTCTGATTGATCCTGGCAGTAGTGCGAATGTCATGCCCAGGGTGACGTTCGACCGACTTGAGATTGGTCCCGAAAAACTCAAACCCACAGGAAATCCGTTGCTCGGATTTGATGGGAAGCGAGTGGAACCCATTGGAATGGTGGAATTGACAGTACAAGCTGCTAAACGAGTTTTGACTGAAAGTTTTGTGGTCGTGGAAATTCATCCATCCTACAACTTCTTGATGGGCAGAGGATGGATTCACCGGGTTCAGGGCATTCCATTAACCTTGCATCAAGTGATGTGATGCTTGGGTCCGGATGGGACCAAGGTGATAGACATACATGGGGACCAGGTTACAGCTAAAGAATGTTATTCAGTGACTTTGAAATCTGCTGGAAAAGGGAAAAATCCCATCCGTTCTGCCAGTCCAAAATAGCAATTACAGAAACCTCCTCCCAGCAAAGAGGGGGAGGAGGAGCCACCAGTACTGACCACAGAACCCTTTCATGAAGTAAAGATTGACCATGAGAAGCCGGACCGAACAACAAGAGTGGGAACCAGACTTACTGAAGAGGAAAAACTAGAGTTGACGGATTTCTTGACTCGGAATGCAGATGTATTCGCATAGAGCCATTCAGATATGCCAAGGATAAATCCTTCTATATCCTGCCATTCCCTCAATGTAGACCCGAATGCAAAGCCAGTAAAGCAGAAGCAGAGAAGATTTGCTCCAGAACGAAATCAGATTATAGCTGAGGAGATTGATCGGCTGCTTGAAGCCGGATTCATCCGAGAAGTTCAGTACCCGGCCTGGCTCTCCAATGTTGTTGTAATGCAGAAAAAGAATGGGAAATGGCGAGTGTGTATCGACTTCACTAATCTGAATAAAGCTTGCCCAAAGGATAGTTTCTTATTGCCAAGGATTGATCAAATGGTAGATGCCACCACAGGATACGAGCGATTAACCTTCCTGGATGCTTATTCCGGTTATAATCAAATTCCCAAAGATCTAGTTGACGAAGAGAAAACTTCATTTGTTACTGAACGAGGGACTTATTGCTACAAAGTCATGCCGTTCGGATTAAAAAACGATGAAGCTACTTATCAGAGGCTAATCAGCAAGATTTTTAAGGGCCAAATGGGAAGCACTGTCGAGGCTTATATTGATGATATGGTGGTCAAGAGTAAGAAGAAGAGCGATCATTTAGTGCACCTGCAGGATGTGTTCGATGTGTTGCGCCAGTAAGGGATAAAGCTTAATCCGGCCAAATGTTCATTCGGCGTAAGCTCTGGTCAATTTCTGGGACATGTGGTCAATCATAGAGGAATTGAGGCCAGCCTAGCACAGGCAGAAGCCCTGATCAGAAATGCAGAGCCAAAGACAATTAAGGAGGTGCAAGTACTCACAGGTTGAATAACTGCACTGAGCCGATTTATTTCCAAGCTTTCGGACCGTTGTAAACCTTTTTTTGATATAATTCGAGGGCACGGAAGGCAAACCTGGGGGGATGAACAACGACAGGCGCTAACCAGCCTGAAAGAATACATGCGTAACCCTCCGGTTCTGTCTGCTCCCGAGCCGAATGAGAAGCTCTTTCTGTATCTTGGGGTATCCAGTATAGCGACCAGTGCCGTTCTAATCCGTTGCAAAGAAGGAAAGCAATTCCCGGTGTTTTATGTTAGCAAAACAATGTCTGAGCCGGAAAGAAGGTACTCAAGGGCCGAACGAATGATCTTGTCGCTAGTCAACGCAAAAAGAAAGCTTAGACATTATTTCGAATCCCATCCGATTATCGTTTTAACAACTTTCCCTTTGAGAATGATCCTGCACAAACCGGACCTATCGGGGAGAATGACCAAGTGGGCCATTGAATTGAGTTTATTTGATATTGCGTATGAGCCCAGGACAGTAATCAAAGGTCAAGCGGTGGCGGATTTCCTACTTGAATGCGATGCTGAAGATTTGGTGGAGGATTATAATTGTTCCTTGTGGAAGCTCTTCGTGGATAGCTCTTTGAATCAAATGGGGGCAGGGATTATAATCCAATTGCGAACACCAGAAGGAACTACGTTGAGCCAAGCGATAAGACTTGAGTTCAACGCAACCAACAATGAGGCAGAATACGAGGCGTTGATAGCTGGGCTGAAGTTGGCTAAAGAACTGAAGATCAAGAATCTGATTGCTTATAGTGATTCATAACTAGTCATTCGGCAAGTCACTGGGGAATATGGGGCCAAGGATAAGACCATGGAAGCATACCGAACTGCGGTTCTGCGTAAGGCAAAAGGCTTTGATCAGATCAGGTTCATCCAATTGCCGAGAGAGTATAACGAAGATGCCGACCGCTTGGCTTGTAGCGCATCCAGTTCTGGAGAGACTTTGGCTAGGGTCATCCCAGTTGACGTGCTGGTCCAACCTTCCATTTTTGATGAGCTGCCTAATCCGAGTGCTCAACATGTTAATGTTATACCATATGAGTGGAGCTGGATTGATCTGATCATGGCTTTCATACGTAATGGTGCACTCCCCGAGCAGAAGGACGAGGCAAGAAAAATTAGGTCCAGCGCGGCAAAGTATGCCATTGTGCGTGATCAGTTGTATAGACGCTCCTTCTCGGGTCCATATTTGAAGTGTGCTACCCCAACAGAAGCTAGACAGATTATGCGAACCATTCATGAGGGAGTATGGGGAAATCATTCAGGAGGAAGATCTTTAGCACACAAGGCAATGACACAAGGGTACTTCTGGCTAAACATGGCACGAGATGCAGAAGAATTCTCTAGAAGATGCGATAAATGCCAGAGGTTCGGGTCATTGATCCATCAACCACCTGAAGAACTGCACGTGATGGCCACCCTATGGCCTTTCGCGAAGTGGGGGATGGATGTGGTTGGCCATTTGCCAACTGCAAGATCGCAGAATAAGTACGTTCTGCTAGCAACTGATTACTTAACCAAATGGGTAGAAGTAGAGCCGTACCCTAGTGTCACCCAAACTCAAGTAAGACGCTTCATCTGGAATAATATTATCTGTCGTTTTGGCATACCAAGGTCAATCGTGATGGACAATGGGACCAACCTCGATAGCAAGCAAGTGAAAGAGCTGCTAGAAGAATATGGAATGAACCAGAAGTTAGCAGCAGTCAGTCATCCCCAGGCTACTGGTCAAGCCGAAATCACAAACAGGACAATATTTGCCTGCATTAAGAAAAAGTTAGAAAATGAAAAAGGAAAATGGTTAGATGAGCTTCTGAACGTCTTGTGGGCTTACAGAACAACCCCAAGACGGCTGATCGGAGAGAGCCCATTCGCTATGGCATACGGCACCGAGGCGGTGATACCAGTTAAGCACTTAGTTCCAACTGTAAGGAGCTTGGCATGGGATCAAGAGCAGAATGATAGAATGCTAAGGTTTAACCTCGATTTGCTGGATGAAAAAAGGGATACGGCTGCAATAAGGCTTGCCTCTTATCAATAGACGATTATGAATAGCCATAACAAGAAGGTAAGGCACAGAGACTTCGCTCTTGGCGATCTGGTTCTGAAAAAAAAGGTGGGGATAGTCAAAAAGATGTTCTCCCCATGGGAAGGTCCATACAGAATTGCAGAGGTCATAGGGAAGGAGGCGTACGTCCTAGAAACTATGGCAGGAAGGGTGGTCAATAAGCCATGGAATGCTACGTCCCTGAAAAGGTATTACCAGTAAAAGTAAAGTTCAATTTCAAACAATATGCGCGTTTTAAATTGCATACTTGCAAGTGTACGAAATTCCCAAGCTTTATAAGATGTCTTTTCTTTGCTCAAGAATTAATTGACATCCTTCCCATTCAGCAAAGTTAGTGGCAGCTGGCAATTTAAGCTGAACGCCAAACACTTGCTCAAAAAGCAAATAAAGCCAAGTGGCAAGTGGCGTTCAAGCCGAGCGCCAGCCATTCAGCAAAGTTAGTGGCAGCTGACAATTTAAGCCGAACGCCAAACACTTGTTCAAAACAAAAATAAAGCCAAGTGGCAAGTGGCGTTCAAGCCGAGCGCCAAGCATTCAGCAAAGTTAGTGGCAGCTGGCGCTTTAAGCCGAACGCCAAACACTTGCTCAAAAACAAAAATAAAGCCAAGTGGTAAGTGGCGTTCAAGCCGAGCGCCAGGCATTCAGCAAAGTTAGTGGCAGCTGGCACTTCAAGCCGAACGCCAAACACTTGCTCAAAAATAAAAATAAAGCCAAGTGGCAATAAGCGTTCAAGCCGAGCGCCAGGCACTCAACAAAGATAGTGGAAGCTGGCACTACGAGCCGAACGCCGAACACTTGCTCAAAATAAAGTAAAGCCGCTTAAAATAAAATAAAGCCAGAACGGTAACAAGGCCGAACACCAAACACTTGTGAAAATACACAGCAAAGCTGAAAATGGAAAACTTGAAGGATGGAAGTCATGCTGAGCAAAAGCATTGTCATTCATTACAAAAAGGTCCTGAGGTACATAGCTTGATACATGAAGATAAAAATAAAAAATAAAAAAAATAAAAATAAAAATAAAAATAAAAAAAAACTGCTACAAGATGTCAGTTCTGATGATCTTCTCCAGGCTGTGACCTGTCGTTTTCCCCACCATCATCCTCTGGACCATTGAGGTCTTCTCCATTATCAGCTGCCCTATCATCCTTAGAAGGGGAGTCAAGATGAATCACTCCCTCAGCAGGCATAGGTCTGTCAGTAACAACTAAGGAAGAGGGCACAATGGTAGAAAGGGGAAGACTATTCAGGGGATGAAAGGGTGGAACAATTCCTGAGGATGCAACCTCTATGCACTCGATGAAGATATTCTCAGCCGGGTCGCAGGGTGGGTTTTGATAATTATTTGAGGTGTAGATATCCAGAGAAGCATCTAATTCATCTGGACCAGCACAAGAGCTTGATTCGCCTTCAGGGGGAGAACGGTTAATAAAACCGTCTTTGTACCCTTCAGCATACCGAATGGCACTGGTTCTGGTGAAGCGAGCAAGGAGAGCTTTCATACCCCCTTCGACTTTGCCAATCATGTTCAGCAAGGAAGACCGTTCGTTTAAGAGCTTCTCCTGTGAGTTCGCATGAGACAACCGTTCAGCAATGAATGAGCACTAAAGGTCTCCCTTCTCAGCTTTGAGAGAGTCCCTTTCTGTCAGAGCAACACTCTTCTCAGTTTTCAAGACATCAACCTCATCCTGAAGAGAATCCCGTTCGGTCTTCAGGGTATCCCGTTCAGCTCTGAGGGAATCCCTCTCATTTGCCAGACCATCCTTCTCTGCCTTTAAGTCAGCAACCCCCTTCTCTGA